GGCTTGCTTAAAGACAAACATGTCACCCACTGAGGAGTAAACTCAGTCTCACTTATAACACAACGGATTTTACTCAATCTACCTGGTCATGGTCTTGGAGACACCTAAACCTGATCAATTAACTCTTTCTCCATGCCTTGTTATATTTTTGTTATGTTCTGTCAAGTCCTAGTTGTCTTTTGGTAATATACAGATAAAAGTTGCCCTGTGTCTTGCCACATTATACAATTCTTGCAAGTGCATACTTGTAGTTTTCAGAAATTTGTCTAGCCACTTCATGGAGATTCAAGCATCATTTTCTGTAGTACTAAACTTGGTTGCTCAAGGAATGTGAATGAGTTTCTCCAAGATATAGTTCAAAGGAACACAAGTAATCCTTGCTTACCAACTGTCTTGTTTAGCAACGTTATGATAATTTAAGCTTTGCAACCAACCCTTATATTTATATTGCATAATCCTACAGTTATGTGACTGCCATTTGTGTGCATCAAAAATGGCTTACAACAAGCAAGAAAAGGTAGAAGTAAAATTTTAAGTCACAGTCGGGATATTTCATTTAAGTTTTGATGTTCAGTCACTAAGTCATGTCAGACATTTTGCAATTCCTAGACCACTGTCAGTGCCTTCTGTCATCCACTGGCTGCCAGAGTCTGCCCAAACCAATGCCAACAGCATCTCATTCTCTGTCATTCTCTTTTCTTTTGCCTTCAATCTTTCCCAACATCGGAGTCTTTTCCAATGAGTCTTCTCTTCTAATAGGATGGCAAAAGTATTTGCAATTCAGATTTAATAGTTATCTATCCTAAGAGCAGTCAGGATTGATTTCCTTTAAGATGGACTATTTGATCTCCTTGCAGTCCAACATCACAATTCAAATGCATAAATTCTTCAGTTCTCAGCCTTATGGTCCAACACTCATAGCCATCCATTATTACTGGGAAAACCATAGCTTTGAATATATGGACCTTTGTTGGCAAGATGATGTCTCCACTTGTTACTATGCTGTCTAGGTTTCCTCTATTTTCCTCCCAAGGACAAACTTTTAATTTCATCACTACAATTGTCATTTGTAGTGCTCTTGTAGCCTAAGAAAATAAAATCTGACCCTGTTTCCATTTCTTCCTCTTCTATTTGCTAGGAAATGATGGGACTAGATGTCATTAACATAGTTTTTTTTTAAAAAAATGTTGAGTTTCAGGCCAACTTTTGAACTCTCCTCTTTCACTCTCATCAAGAGGCTCTTTAATTACCCTGGGAAGATGGGCATGGGGAACAAACAGGGGAGGCAGGACAGGGGAGGGAGCGTTCCAGTATGGGACCTCCAGAAGATCAGGTATGGGAAGGCACGCTAAATTTCACCATCCGGTACACCCGTATCGGTGCGTACCCGCTGAAACCCACCCCTGAAACCCACTCCTGCAACTCTACCACTTGAGTAGAATCCATGTAGCATATCCATACAACTTAAAGAAAAGACCAACGACACAATTCTCACTTTTTCTTAATTGATATTTACCGTTTTTCACAAGTTGATTATTTGCCTACCTATTGCTAAAAAAAATCAACCTAAGGGAAAAAGCAATTGAAAAAAAGGACAGTCTTCTCATTCAGAATTCATTGACCAATCCTGAAAACACACTTCCAGAAAGCTTCTCCTATGCAACGAATCTCTTCCAAAGATGAAAAGTAAGTCCCATCTTGCAAATCTGGCATATGGGACTACAGAAAGTTATTCCTACTTCTGACAGCAGAGATAGGGCAAGCAAGCAACAGGAGTTCTAAGTTAAGGTAGTTATTCAGTGATTATCATGGCATCCCCAAAAACAGATGAAAGGTAAAGCTCATTCTAGAGTTTAATATAATTTATTTTCATATCATTAGTAATCAATGATCAATCTTGAAATAAAACCCAATATTTTAATATACCTACAGTACTTCCTTTAGCTTCCCATTGAAATTTTAGGAGTGTGAATTTCATTAATTGTCTGTCTTCTGAATTTCAATGATATGATCTATGGGGAGTGTTGTGGCCTGGCAGGAGCTGTTGTAGCTGCCGCCAGACTCTGACAGCGAGGAGTCAGCCCTGGAGGAGGTGGAGGACCATGGACAGGGTGCCGACTCCGAGCAGGGTGAGGAGAGACTAGTTGGCTACCCAGGTGGCGGCGGAGCCTTGGATCAGAGGGAATGTTCAGGAAAACACTTGTGAGTTGTTTCAGGATGCACCCTGTCGAAGGGCTACTTGGTGGAAGGAACAACTGCATAATTGTAGGAGATGATTGCGCTTAGCTGATGCTGATTAAGATCCTCTCCTGATTATAAAAGAGACTGTTTGTGCCATGCCCTGTTTGCAGGAATCAATGTTCACAATTCAGAGGAACCAACTTGGAGAAGTCATTTGCTGTGAGAGCTTGTTTGCATTGCCTAGGTTTGTAAGAATTACTGCCAGAGTGCTTATCTCTTTGCTTATTTTGGGCTTGAAGCCGAGAGTATGGACTGATTAAAAGTATTCTTATTTATGTTTGCTTGTGGCTTTCGTTTCTGGATGGAGAAGGGGAGGGTCAGAACAGGGAGGCAAAAAATAAAAGGGGCAGCTGTGTGCAATCTAAAAGTTGTGGATTGTCCATGCCTACATTAGGCATTCCATATATAGTGTTTCTTAAACTCCCTGAACATTTATTGATGTCAATACCAATGAAAATTTATTGATATCAATACCAATAAAGAGAAATGAGTAATTTTGAATGACAGATGAGGATTTGATTTGTAGAGAGAATCAATATAGCAATAGCAGTAGACTTATATACCGCTTCATAGGCCTTTCAGGCCTCTCTAAGCGGTTTACAGAGAGTNGTGCTGATAAATAAATAAAGGGAGACTAGTATAGATCTATTTCAAGCTATTTAGCTCTCATCAGCTAGCCATACCCTTACTGGGATTTGAACCGGCATATATATATATTGTGTATGTGTGTTTTATTTGTGCTGATAAATAACAAAGGCAACAGTAAAAATGTTGGGTTTCTGTCAATATATATATATAATATTTTTTTAATTATGTGCATGAATTTTCAGTAAATGATTGTGAAGACTAAATAGATCCTGCCTTTATAGAAAAGACTGTCAATTTTGCTCAGAAGAGGTACAACAGATACCAGTAGCATGTGCCTTGAGTATCAAACCCACAAAAGTCAAGAAAATTCTGACCTATATTTTATAGGTTATCTACTATATGAGCTGCAAGAAAGATTAATGAAATCCTGGCAAGAGAGTGCTATGGATTAGGCTCAGTGAGGCAAGCGGTGGCTTGTGCTGATTTAACTCCAATCCAATCCTGTCCCAAAGGAGTTTGGCAGAACTGGCCAACTCTACCTGATTTGCCAGGAAACCTTCACCCCACCCCTGGCAATGCCAAGTTCCTATTGTACAGAAGGAACATTCGGCGTCAGACATACTGTCTGTTCAGAGATGTTAGTGATAGATTTAGAGAGTTCCACTGTAACTCAACCATTTGTAGTTCTTAGATGGGTCTGCTTTCAAAAATAAAATGTCAGCTTTTTGGTTCTCTCATTTCCATCTGACTGCACCTGGTTGAATCTGTAAGAGCCTACAACTTTGGTGGTGGAGGAGTGTGTCCCACCAGAGTTTTCACAAAATTACATTTTACCAAAACATTAACATCTTTTTGGCCCTATCCTAAATGGTGCCAAGACATACTTGGTAAATAAGCAACATACTGCAATTTATTTAAGCAAGCAGACATCAGTTTGAAATATTTATGCTTTAAAAACTTTGTCTTTTGCAATAGTCTGAAGATGTAATGGCATGCATGCATCTGCCCAAAGCTATGTGAACTTTTGATTAAATCTATACTGCCTTCTGTTTCATTTTCCTGCTTTAGCTGCTGTGTGGTTTTCGGTATGTAGGTTTATAGAGAGGTTTTATTACTGATAAAATAATTTATTGTTTAAAAATTGCACAAATAAAAACATCATATTTACTTGAAAAGAAGATAGTCTTGAATTTAAGAGAAACACACAATCCAACCCAACAAGATTGGAAATAAAAATTATTCTTCCCTTGCTCATCCAGGGTCAACCAACTCCATCTATCTGGGAAATTTCTATTCCAGCCAATAAACATTTGTTTTATTTACACTTACACAAACTCTTATTCATATTTATGAGTATGTAAATGCCAGTTAAAATCCACACTTTAAAAAAAAGACAAAGCAGAAGAAGAAATGGTTTGTAGTGTTGGAATTAATGACTTTCTAGTTAAGTACTGAAAAAAATATTTATTTTATAAATTTAATTGATTCTCCATATGCATATTCCAACCAAATACTCTCACAAATCCCTGTTACACATAGACACACACAAGTCCCCCGCGTAAAGTCCCTCTCTTTTTAGCAGAGAAACTCAGAGGGAAGAAAATAAAAGGATGGAGATGGGGATAAGGTAGAAAGAAAAGGGATGGTGGTAGTGGTGGAACCTGAACTGGATGACGATGAAGAGTTAACTGAACAACCAGCACCAAATAAAAATGTGGGAGAAACTCCAAATGTCATCTATAGATTGAACCATTTGAAGGACAAAGTTCTCTAGGATTAAAAAGGGACAGATGGAGTTCTTGAGCAAACAGAATATGAAGATTCCTCATCATGGAAATTGGGTTGAGATTACATCAAATATGTCTTTGTGGTGTCATCAAAACCACACCGATGCAAGAAATTATATAAAATTTCTGTTAGACTCAGTTAAAATTATCTTTGGCAACATTATAATTTCAATAACTTGAGCAGCTTCATTTTGTAAAATTATGAACAACTTCTCTGTTCTATGGAAGTTCTCTGAACCTGAGATGATTCACCCAGGGTCAGATTTGGAGCAGTCCTAAAATGCAATGCCATGATCTCCCTTTTCCAGCTCAACTGCAGCTCTCCAATAAAAGCAAACTGAATTAATGCAAACCATAAAGGATAGCGTTCTTTTTCCATTTTAGGTTGTCCTGGTGCCAAAAAGAATGAATTTCTGACCAGTGTCCTAGATGCACTTTCCACAGATATGGTGCATGCTGTTTCTGATCCTGCAGTATCTTCCAGCAGGTGAGTTCTTCTTTCCCAAAAAGGAGTGGGAATTTGCTCCTTTTTGCAAAACCTGTGCAGGATTTTGCGGTCGGACAAACTATTTTCACTTCTCTGACTGGTTCTGTGGTGTTTATCAGCATTCCCTTGCTGATTATAGGCCTTTGTCTTTTGAACATTCACTGATAATCCATTTGAAATGGCTGAAAAATATTGGTGCAATAATAGAAATTAAAGAAATAATTCCTTTAAAATAAGAACTGCATTTTACACAATAACATCTCATGTTTTTGTTGTTTTTAGTATCTGTAACAGACATTTCATCTATCATACATAAAATAATAGTACAAATTTGTTCCATATAAGCACAAAGCTTAGATGTTATTTCTTTTTGATGCAGCAAACTTGAATATAAAGTATCAGATCTTGTATGGATTACATTATTTTGGGTTTTTTCTCCTGCTGTTTTTATTCTGTTGTTATTTTATTCTGCTGTTATATACTGTTCAAAACTGTTTGGATTAGAGTGGCATAGAAATGTCAGCAGTAAAATAAAATTTAGCAAAGCACAGTCCTGATTAGAATTACTTATAATAAAATGCTTTGAAAGCAAAGCAACTTAATCTGCTCATGACTAACTCAATTTTGACCAGATTGAATGGGAAGTACTCTTAGTTGGGTCTGGGCCATAGGAGTATGGAAATTAAAAATCCCAGACTCTATTCTGCAAGAGTGGTGGGTAAGAAGACAAACTTGGGTTGTCTAGTACATCTCTGTGTGTTTTGTAGAAGGTTGGCCAGGATTTCTGTGTAACATCCAGAATCCACCAGTTTAAAACAAACTCACTGACATAATTAATTATGAGTTCAAATCTTAAATAAGATTAAATCTGTGTTTAACTTTCTGCCTGCCAACTGTCAAATAACAAAACACTTTCAAAAATTAAGTTGTTGAAAAAAGGGTGGCTAGAGAAAAACCAAACTCAAATATTTTTACATGAAGGTGCATGCATTTCTGTTGCAGCCCTGTACTTTGAAAGTCCCTTTTTGAGACTAAGTTACTGCCCATCCTGAAGGCTTTCTGGAGATTGGTAAAATTGAGTTTAGGAAGGGATGAGGTGATGCCATCTGTTGTTTCTATTATAGATTTGGATTTGTGTGCATTATTTCAGTTTTAATTGTGTTTTTAAAATTTTTGTTGTTATTGCAAACCATTGGGAATCCTAGTAGGTTATCTTGGGGAGAGAGAGGGAAGGAGGGAGGGAGGGAGAGAGAGAGATGTATTGACAAACAGTACATTCTAGATGTTTTAGTAGCCCCATTAATACCTGGAAACTTAAGAACCTTAAGAGTTGCAATGGACAAAGTGAAATGAACAATTCAATTTAATTTGGAATGAAAACTAGAATAAAAGTTAGTATTTTGTGTGTGTGTGTGTGTGTGTGTGTGTGTGTGTGTGTGTNTAGCGATCCGGACCCTTACTACTCTCCTGGCCTTCCGAAAAGCCACCAAGACCTGGCTGTTCCGGCAGGCCTGGGGCTGGTGATCAAGGTCCAGCCACACTCAGACAGAATGGATGGTGTGCAATTTTAACAACTGTATTTTTTACCTTTAATTTTTAAAATGCCTTTATCTTGTCTGTAAGCCACCCAGAGTCCCAAGAGAGTGGGCAGCATACAAATTTTATTAAATTTCAAATTTCCTACGGGTTTGGGCGGCATACAAATTTATTAAATTGCCAATTTGCCTGACTATAAGTAGATGCAGGAATAGGTGATGGATAAAGTAAATGAGATTGCTAGGGGATTCATGCATTGCTTAAAAAAAAAACAGTAAAAAAGTTACCCATGATCTTAGTGTTGGATTTTGGACTTTTTCAGGTCTCCCAGGAATTAAAAACTTGGAATCTTTATTATGAAAAATTATTCCAATGAATTTGGGCTGTTCTCATTTTTTCTATACATATGCAAATAAAATGTTATACGGTACTTCACATTTTGACAATATACCTATTTTTTCTTCTTTTCCTAACTTGATTCATGTGATTTTTGTATTTTGGCTGAACAGAAGTTTTAAAGTTATTGCTGGACTATATGAATTTAGCATTGGTCTTAATTTCCTTCAATTTATTTGCATTGGTTCTCTGTTGCTGATATATGCACCTGAATTTGTAACTTAGTAAATAAAGTCAACAAATATGTATAGCAGTCTTGCTGTGAACATATCTATAACTGAAGCAAGGTTATGTAGATAGTTTTTTTCTGCAATATTTTACTGATGCAGTGTTCTTTGGCTTCTTGCAAGCAATTTTGTTGAGTTTCAAAAGAAAAATAAAATACAAACTAACAGAAAGGCGAAAGGCAAAAAATTGGGTAGCGTAAAAAGGGGGGGATATTTAAAAGTGACAAATGACATAAAACAAATATATAAAAAGAATAACTTCTGACTTTTTCTAGTACAGATGCCAATATATTGTACATTATAAGAACGTCTTACTTTAAATTTAAGTAAATTCATAAAAATATATACTGAGCTGTCATTTTAAATTTAATCCAATATATAAAACAGTGCAATTAAGTACAAATGAAACATGCATATTACAATATTGACACTTCACAATATTTTTCTAATTAAAGAATCCCCAAATCAAAATTCAATTTTTGTCTTTCTCTAAGCCTTTGACTGGATAAAAAGACAGCACTGAAAAGAATCTAAATATTGCAGTATGCCCAGTCTTGGGTCTTCTGTCCTTTCCTCTCCTGTTCAGAGTTTCTGTCTCAAAAAAGTGCTCCATCAAATAATAGAACTGCACACCTGTATTGGTAAAGCAGGAGTCCCACTTGGGTGCATCTTATGCATTCTGTCAAAACAAGACGGATGACTTTGATGTTGTGCTCTCCACTGATGGAATCTGCAGTTCATGTATAGTTCATATGTCTCCAGGAGACAAGTTGTACTCATTGCGTTTTGAATGTGGGAGACAGCTTTCACCTGTAAAGCAAAATAATTGAAGATTCCTTCCCTGTTGACATTTGCATTGTACGTACAGATGCCAGGTTGTTTTGACAAAACAGAACATCAGCTTGCTTGAAACAGTAAACTACTAGAAAACAATCTTTTGCTGGTTTTTAATAGAAACTTAATGTGTTTTTTTGGTTATAGAACAAATCAATCCAAAATTCCCACTCAAGACACAAATGATCAGGCTCAGATTATCATATTTGGAAGCATTAAGTGAGAATCTAGCTCTCTCTAGAAAAGTCAGTAATACTGGGAAAAGTGAAAAGAGAAAGTAGAAGAGGATGACAGCAAGATGGGTGGATCCACTGGAAGATCTGAAGGATCCAGTTGAGCGGTTGCTTTAAATGGAATGACACTGATTCCAAGGAATGGCTGAAATCTTTACATTAATGTTTAAAAGTATGTTTTTTCATTGGTATTGGGTTTCTGCACAGGTCATTCTGGAGGTGTTAAACGTCACTGTCGCATCTGCAGTTGCCACAGTGACTTTTGGCATCTGCAGATGCTATGGTGATGACCCCTATTGTACTTTATTTTGGTAGATTTTTTTGGAACATTTTTGGATGTTTTTTGGAACATTCATTTTGTGAATACAGAACAAAATAAACAAATGTATCTTACTGCAGAGAACAAATTAAAGACATTCAGGTGCAACCCATTTCTTGCTGCTCTGGTTTTTTAAGTTTCAGGAATGTGATTTCTCTACATGCAATTCGAAGTGCACCAGTTTATGCTAGCAGTTCAGGAAGAATTTTGCAATAAGATTCTGAGGGCAGACTTGAAGGCTAAAGTTTATTAAGAGATAAACATATTTCTAAGTAATTGGAATAGGGATAAAGAGATGGAAAGGAAGAATAAAGCACTGCCTTCCACGTACATCTTTCCCTAGGGTTGCTGTGCAAAAAACCAGGTTTGACAATATCAGCCATTAAGAATTTACATTTTACCTTTGCTGAGTATCTGTAACATGAAAATCTAAAATCCATATCATATTGGGTGAAAATTTTAACAGATTATCCAATAAATAAATAAAAATTAATCAGTATCATCATATAGACTGGTATATGATATGCAAATCATGTATGCATGTTTTGATGGCTGCAAATAGGCAGAAAAGTTTGGGTGACCTTGCCTGAACTTATTCTGAGGTTTTAAAAATGTCTTACGTTATAATGTTGCCTCATTGTGCAAGCAGGATCGGGCAGGCAGGATGATTTCATCATTTGTTAAAAGCAGTGTTTGTGAACAGTAAAGGATAATTCTGAATTAGAATTCATGTATGTAGCAATAGCAAAAGCACTTAGATTTCTATACCGCTTCACAGTGCTTTACATCCCTCTCTAAGCGGTTTGCAGAGTCAGCATATCGGCCCCAACAATCNCTCCCATCTGGTCACATGGGTGGCAAGCCACTCCCACAAAGGAGGCCACACCCACAGAGTAGGTTCGAACAATTTTTGAAACCCACCACTGATTCCAATATTTGAGGGGCTGCCACAAGGAAGAGGGGAGTCATTCTTGCTGTTCTCCAAAGCATATGAAGGCAGGACAAGAAGCAATGGATGGAAAGTAACAAAAAGGCAGAACCAACCTAGAATTAAGGATAAATTTCCTGACAGTTAGAACAATTAACCAGTGGAACAACTTGCCTCCAGAAGTTGTGTGTCAGACCTGGGTGGGGTGGGGTGGCCTGTCAGACCTGGAAGCCATCTTTTACATTTGGGCCTTCAGGCCTGCCACAATGTTCTGATCTAGGCTTCCCGAGACAGTAAAAATCACATGCTTAGTCCCCAAAACCCTCTTTTTTTTTTAAACAGCTGTGAATTATGTCCATTTACATGAGTCACAAACAGTTTGTGAATAGTCCAACAGAAGTCTGCCACAGTCTTTCATGGTAATGCTGATAAGCACCCACCTTCATCTCCCTTGAAACGCTGCCAGAGACCTAATTGCCAATTAGTTTTGCAAGGCCAAACAGAGCACAGTCAAAATGGAGCTTAAA